TAAGAACTTTTTCAATTTCAAATGCAGTGTCTCAAACAAACATCTCATTGGATTGTAGTGTCTGGTTTTCAATTACATCATCCTTTGGAAGTTGGGTGAACATCCTATGTCAGCATGTTATCATCTCTGCCTGCCTCCTTAGAGCAACAGTCCTTATGCAGTTGTTTAGATGCTCCAAAGTGACTTTTTGGAATTTCCAAGAAATTAATGAAGGCTTCATGTTCATGTGACTGACCAGTTCTCAAATTCTAATTTTGATTTCCCCACATCTAGAACTCTACTGTGGATAATTTACTATCCTCTTCATCTGCTACCAATCAACTCCTAAAATGATATTTCTTGCTTCCCTCAAAAAACTGCTTTTCCTCCTCTGAGTTCTACTCAATTCCTTGGGTAACTTAATCATTGGAGATCATGTATGGTTTTCTCTTCTCTCCATTCCACTCACGTTCTCATGAACTTGGATCAGCATTTCCTGGGCCCTTGTCCTATATGTAACATCAGCAATATTGTCAACTAAACTGATGGTTTCTATCACACTCTTCTTTGACTTTCCTATTTTGTTGTCTTTTTCCTTGTACAAAAATCATGTAATGGGGAAGGCATGGAGAACTTTGAAAACTAAAATATCTTAAACTTCTTTCAGGCTGGGCTACAATCTTAACAAATTTACCCAAAAAAGGATCCAAAGTCTACACTTACAAGCCCAGATATCCCTTGAGTCTGCAGTCCCACAAGCCCATGTCAAGTTCTATCTGCCATAAAGATATAATGTTCTTAATGTTAATAATGGTCGTGCAATTGGAAGGCTAATGAAAGACCCACTGGATCATGGGTCTTCAGCCATCTCTTCTTAAAATAATGTTCTTTGGGGCTGGATGTCTAGAACAGCTGTTCAGTCATCATTTGGGACTAGCATAACCCGTATCACAGTACCTGGGTCTCTGGTACATGTGGGGTGGACATTGTGCAAAGTTTGAGTGTAATTCCTTACAACTCACCCAAAAGGCCTTTAGCATTCATTAATGATCTTTGCCTACTTGATTCTTCAATTATTCTTTTCATTAGGGGTTTCTAAATGACGGTTTTTCTTGTTCTCCAATTCTTTCCTTCTGTTTAAGCTGGCATGTTTCAATAAACTTGGACATCTGCCTCAAAACTGAGCAGCATGGTGATCCTGAAACATAGTTCCTTCTAAAAGGCAGAATATTTATTACTTTTTGCATTGCCAAAATTTAGAATAAGGGTTTGGTGACATAACTTCTCCACACATAATTTTGTTTTACTTTCTTTCATATGGCTATGAATGTTTGGAGCTTTTCATATTCAGTTACAATGGATTAATGAATGAATAAGATACCTTTTAAAACTAAGGATGCTTTTGGTATCAGTCTAATATAGGCCAGTAAACACGCACATAAATGATATTCTCGTAGTATTTCTAGTGTAGAAATTAAAAACTTGATAAAACAAGAAAATGCAGATTAAAATTCTTTCTCAAATTCAATTTCTCCAGCACTCTTACCGATTGTCCTCAGGCTTTGTAGATCAGAGGGAATATTGGACAGACTAAATTAAAGATAAAAGCATATATAGAATTCCAGAGGTTAATTTGTTTAAAATTCTTAATTTTGAAAATAATTAAAATGTTAATGATAAATGGCAATTTCTTATTTAGGAAGGAATCCAAGATTTTTTTTTTTTGCTCAAGTCTTAAGCACCTGTATTTTTAGAATTTCCTTAAATGCAAACATTGTAATTTGTTCTCATGGTACCTCCTTACACATAGAGGGAAGGTATTTATCTTCCTGACATTTGAAGGAGTGTGCTCTAAAAGATTTCAAAACATTTTTCAGGTGTTCCACAACTGTACTTGTGTGGAAAAAGCTGGTCTCCAGAAGAGCAACTTCTCAGCCTCCTTGGGGGAATGCCCACGGGGCGCTGACTGCACAAGGAAGTACCACATTTACTTGGCTATGCAAGTTCTGACTGGTTTTTCTGTTGCCTGTTCAGGCCCTTCATTTATACTGCTGGTTGTTAGGTGGGTACAACTTTTAAAAGATTTTCCCATAGATTGCACTGCAAACAGACCTTGCAATGTTTTCCATGACGTCTGATTATCTAGGAATGCCTTTTCTTTAGGATGGCTGTGATACTTCAGTGCCACAGTGAGCAGTAATTTTGCCTCTGACTCTCTTCATTATGAGATCTTGATAATGTACCGTGTCCTCTTATGAAGAATACTGGCACCAGAATGCTTGACAGTTTCCTCAAATGTGGTGGAATCTGTGTGATATTTAAAGAGGCCTAGATGTTGGATGGTCTTGTGTCCTAATGGGCATGTCAGGGCAAAATCTATGGATTTTCATTGAAAGAAAACACTTGGGAACCTAATACACCTTGACACTATGTTACTGTCTATACTTTGTCTATACTTTCTCTATACCTACAATGCACTTAACAGCAGAATGTTAACCTTGTAACTGTTACTAAAGGATTATACTACTGTAACAGTATGGCTGGAAATGGTGGGAGGAGAAATGTGGAGAAAGGAAGGGAAAGCAAAGGAGAGTATCCTTATACCTACAAAACTACATCATGTGAAACCCTAAAAAGTAAAACAAGAGCTACCATGCATGACATTGCCCAGGAGACATGTCTTAGGAAATAAAACCAATCATAATTCAAAGCAAAAAATATTTTGTATCTGTTAATTTGATATTTTAATCTAGATAGGATTTTGAGTCTCCTTCGCTTCTGTATTCTGGCCAAGCCACTCCAGTGCTGTCAGTTTTACCTGATGTACATTGTGCTGTCACGGGAATGGTGCTGTCATCAGCTCACTTGGCACAAATAAATAAATAAATAGAAGTGCAGGACAGGTGTTTGACACTGCTGTTAACTTGCTGCCTGCACTGATCGCATCTCACATTGGAGTGACTGGGTTCCAGCACTCCCTCCACTTCCAGTTCTAGCTTCTTGCTGATGCCTAGCTGACAGTCCAAGAGGTTACAGCCCTGGTACTCACGTGAAAGCCCCTGCGTGAACTGAGGACTCGTGTGGGCATTTGGGAAGTGAACCAGTGAACAGAAACCTGCTCTCTCTCTCGCTCACTCTCTCTCTCGTTCTCTCTCTCGCTCACTCACTCTCCTACCTTCCTTTCTGTTTGACAAGCAAGTAAAATAGATTTTAAATATGAAAAACAGAATTGTGGAAATCACTCTGCAGGAGTGGGTTTCCAAGCAAAGACACTTACGTGCTCTCTAAAATCTGGAGCCTAAGTCTGACTTGTTGAAGGACTGTACTGTTGTCACAGTGTGGGGGAAGCAATGGGAGGGAGGCGAGGAAGAGTGTGGAAGGGAAATCCCTGAGTGGAAGGAATTGTGTCATGAAAAATAAGAATTTAAAGAAGAAAAGTTCTGGAATGCACACACTTCTTCTGAGCCCTTTGCATTATATCATTTTTGAAATATTTTAGTGAAGAAACTTCTGCTAGCATCATTGATAGAACATGATGGAAAAAAAAGAAGCTTATAAATACTATGCACAGATAAGAGTTTCTTCTGTTTTCATATAGATTATGTTGACTACTGAGACCACACAATTTCATTGTCTTTATAGGCACATCCAAATCTATTCTAAAGCCTCTCACAGAATTTTTCTCAGACTTCAAAACAATCATGTTTGTTAGACTTTCTCAAAACCAAAATGCATTGAAGAATTAAGTGACTTGTAATTATCACTCAGGTGTTTGCTTTTTGAAATTAATTAAATGTAACTTTATATAACTGAACTTCAAAGAACTCATACAGGAGCTTGCACTGTGGCACTATTGGCTAAGCTGCCCCTGGCATGCCATCATCCCAAAGGATCCGTGGTTTGAGTCCTGGATCCTCCACTTCTGAACGAGTTCCCTACTAAAAGCCTGGGAAAACATAGGAAGACTGTGCAAGAGCTTGGGTCCAAAACCCTGCAAAGAATACGTGTCTGCACTTGAGGCTCAAGGCTTCCCCTAGTCCAGCCCATGTCGTTGTGATCATTTGGGGAGAAAAGCAGCAGATGGAAGATTCGATCATTTTCTTGGTATATCTGTCTCCCACTCCTTCCCTCCCTCATCACCCTCTCTGCAACCCTGCTTTCAAATAAATAAGTCAATTTTTAACGTAGAAAATATGTTTAAAAGTAAAGCTTATTTTAGTATAAAATATTTGAAATTGATTTATATTGGCAATACTTCAAAACTTCATAAAAACAAAATGTTACAGAAAGCAATACATGAATTAAAAATCTTTTTTCTTAAAAATTACTTTCTAATTGCATTTTTCCACAAACTTTCTGAACCCAACTTGTAAAAATCTGGGCCCATCACTTCAGGGATTTCATTCAGTCTTCAGGAAGAGAACACTGAGAAATGTTTTAACTTTGAGCTCAGTTTGTTGTTTTAAAAGTGCTGATGTGTCTTTTTGCTTTTGTTTGATTGCAGAGTTGTTCAGCCTGAATTGAAATCACTTGCAATGGGTTTCCACTCACTGATGATTCGGACACTAGGTACAACAAATGTGGAAATTGTGGACTTGGGAAATAGTTATCAATACTGACTGACTAATGTGTGCAATTAATTTCAAATTACAAAGAGAATAAGTAGACATCATTTCCATTTTTATGGCCAGTGACAGTAAAAGACAGAATGTAAAAATTACTCTGTTGATTCTAGTTAACGACAATCTGTCACAGTCCAGAGTCATATCTGTGTTATCATCCATTTATAAGGATGGCAGGTGGTTCGCAAGCTTATTCCTATCAGGTTTGAGACTTTGAGATTCTTGGTTACATGTGCTAATCAGTGATGCAAATGTCTCCCAATATTTTCAACTTTTACTGACTGCAAAATTTATCAATGTGAAATATCACCCAATTATAGTTGAGACATGTTCCTTGGATTGATATCCTGTCACCTCACATTTCAGGAGGGATTCTAGCTCCAGTATACTTTGGGGCTCTGATTGACAGAACTTGCTTAAAGTGGTCCGTCACCAGCTGTGGTGCCCGAGGAACTTGTCGGTTATATAACTCTGTGTTATTTGGGTAAGTTGCCATCTGCATCTCATTCATTGATTCTTCTCCTAGCTGTATTAATTCCTAAAGAGTATCATTTTCAATCTGATAATTATGTTAGTTATAGCCATGATTTAAAGGACACTATATTCAAACTTATGTTAGACCATCTGATAACTCATTTTGACTATCGTCAATGATAGAACACATACGTTTTCCATTTTACTAGAATGTGAGGGAACCATTTTCAAAGATAGTGACAATCAAAATAACACAACTAATAAAACTGAAGTCCTGGGTTTGCATTCAAATCTTTTTGTTTCCAAAACCCTACTCATACGGTCATGTCATGCTAATCCCAGTTAAGGCTGAGAATGCATTTAATGCATGGAACTCATTGAACTTTAAGGCATAGCCTCACCTGCTTTAACTAATCTAGAATACTTCATGTGAGTCTGTGATGGGACAAAAGCATCTAACAGCTGCTTTTAGAACAAAGTGTTGAACACACAGTTTTACTAGACGTGAAAGGACATGAAAATGTAAAACATTAGTATTCTAAAAATTATGGCAGCTCAGTTCACTGCTCAGAGTCCACTTTTTATCCCCAAGAGTACGTAAATGCCACCCCCTGCAGCTCTGTCCTGTTGTCTAGTATCACAATAGAGCAGCACACTCCACCTTGGGAGCCTAGGAGATCAAAATGCAAAGTTTGTAATGTGGATTCCACTAACTGCCTGCTGCTTTCACACCATCATAATCCTTAAAACCTATAGTTTGAGTGATCTTTAGTTGAGTTGATCTGTAGTTTATATTTTCTTTCTGAAGAATTTCTTCCAATATTTCTTACAAGACGAGTCTCTAGACAGAATCTGACTTTGTGTTTGGAATATTCCTCATTCTACTCCACTGTTGAAGGAAAATCTCACAAGGTGCAGGATTTAGGGTTGATGGGTTTTGCTTTAAACACTTAAAATAGTTCATACCATTCTCTTCTTGATGGCAAAATTGATGAAAAGTAGCCAATGTAGTTTTTTTTTAATACTAAAATAAATTTTTCTTCCCTTCTGGCTTATTTTGGGATTACTTTTAATCTTTGAGTTTTACAATTTTGCTTATAATTGTTACAATTTTTCTGACATTTTCCTGACTTGATCTTTGAGTTTCATTCATTGGGGGTAGTTTAGTGGATGACACTGATTTATGTCTCAAAATACTCTTCTCTTTCACTTTCCTTCCTTTCCAACCACTCCAGCCCATCCTTCCTTTCCCTGCCTGTTTTGTTTACTCTCTCTCTCTCTCTCTCTCTTGCTTCTTTCCTTTTTTTCTTCATTCTGTCCTTTCCCCACTTCCCTTCCTTTTTCTTTTCTTCATCTTTCTTTCTTTCTTTTCTTCCTTCTCTGTCTCTCTCTCTACATTTCCACTCTGTCTCAGACTTTTACACTGGTCCTGCAGTTACTGAATGTGTTGTTTGCCATTTTTTTTTCTGTCTTTGCTTTACAGTTTGGGAGGTTTCATTTGTGATAACCTCAAATTAAGAGACCCTTTCTTCAGCTGTGTTCTCTGTACTAAAATCATCAAAGTATCTTTCATTTCTGTCCCAGTAGTTTTGATCCCTATGTTGCTTCATAGAATGTCTGTTTCTCTGCTTCCATCACTCACCAGGTCATCTGTGCTATCTACTTGGTCCATTAACACCGTAGCATGTTAATAACAGTTAAATTTCCATTCTGATCATGTCAACTTCCATGATATGTCCTAACTCTAGTTCTTGAGGCTTGCTTATTCTCTGCAATTATGTTTTAAATTACGGTTTTTCTCCCTTCTTTTTGTATGCTTTGTAACTGTTTTTTTTTTTGAGAGCCAGAAATAATGTATTAGGTAAAAGGAATTACCCTCTGAAAGCCTTTCTAATGTGGTAGAAAGTGCAAAAGGATCAATTCTCTGTCTTTTAGATGGGGCCTCTTGGCTATGAACTTTAAGCAGATTTCTCGGTTCCCGTCCCACCCGGTGAACTGGATAGGAAGGCTTGAGGGAGTTGGAGATGAGTGTTTTTCTTCCTGTATGAGGAAGGCTGAGCCAATTGGAATTGAGGAATTTCCAAGGTTTCATAAACATTTCAAATTAATTCAAAACTAATCTAAAAACAATGACTACCTTATTGCTTTTGATTTATACTTCTGTTTTGTTTCTCTGTTTTTACATTTGCTGCTACCAGAAAGATTGTAAATATGCAACAGAGTTCAAAATGATCATCTACTTTTTTTTTTTCAAAAATCTCTTCTCACAGAAACAGATTTCTGGGCTTGTCTACATTCTTAAAATCCCTAGCACTTATTTTATATGTTGTGCTCATTTCTGTCATGAAGAAAACAGTTAAAAGAAAAAATCCCAAGTCAACAGAAAATGGAAAGAAGGCTTTGGATGATGCAAACTTAGAATCCTTAAGCAGCAATGGACGTTCTGCACCTTCTGCTGGAGCAGACGGAGAGGCACATATTTAAGGGATGACGAAAAGAACCCTTCTGCTGCAGTTCCACTCAACACAATGGTGACACACCAAGATGTCATTTTCAAGCAGTTCCTGGTCCTTCATGGAGAATTCTACCACTTTTACAGTTTATAGAACAATGAATCACAATTAAAGAGCCCATTCATTTATAATGATCAAAGTCTAAATTGAAGATAAAAGGGGCTGGCACTGTGGTGCGGGAGGTTAAGCCACCACTGGTGACACCAGCATCCTCCTTGGGAATACTTGTTTGAATGCTGCTTTGCCTCCATTTCCGATTCTTGGAAATGCAGCTGAGAAGTCAATGGAAGACGGCCCAAGCACTTGGACCCCTCTCACTCCTGTGGGAGACCAGGAAGCTGCTGTGGAATCCAGGTTTTGCCTGGTCCATCTGTGGCTAGAGCAGCCATTTTGGAGAGTGTATCACTGGATGGAAAATTCCCTCTATCTCTTTCTCTTTGCAATCAAATAAATAAATGAGTAGCTTAAAATGGATGTATTCCTTTTGTGGATATGACTATGATTGTAGTTAATATTTGTACACGTACACATGTAAAGTGAGAACTTGATTAGTTGTGGCACAAGCAGAAATATTGGCTCAGGGAATTGCAGTTCTTAGTGGAACTGTGAGTAGAAAATGAGTCCTAGTCAGAAAGTAGGAGAGAAATTAGCAGCTTGCATATGCAAGGACAAGTGTCATGAGAAAGACAAAAGAGTCTTTGGCAAAACAAAACAACAAAAAATGAATGTATTGTTTGGTTTTTCCATGTTCCTGAAACCTGAAGTAGAGCCTAATGTAGAATTGACACAACCATGGTAATGGTTTATTCACTTGAAGTCACTTCTTTCAAAGGATTTATAAACTGGTCCTTGATATTTTGTCTGACTACTAACTTGGATGAATCTCCTTCAAACATTCCATTAAAATACTGGTGAAGAAACACAGATGTTCCAAATCATAATGCTGTAACCATCATTCAACACATTATAAAACACATCACTTTTGTAAGAGAGCTATGGAAATTCATTGAGATGAACTGATGTTGAGAAATCAAGATATTTAAAAGTTGTGTTTCCATTCCACATGTATGTTTTCTGGGAGAAATGAAACCTGTGAAACATATCAACATTCATGACTTCATGTTTTATTTTTGGGTGGACAAACTATTTTCTTTTTCTACAACCAGAATAAGAAGTAAACTGAGTGAGTACAAATGTATGAATGTTGCATTGTCCACTGAGAATAGCACTATTATAATGGATGCTAAACACTAGTGTTTTAAATCTCACTGATTAAAAGATTTTTAGAGAATATCAAAATTGTGATATTTTTAATATTAATAAATATTTATAGTCCCACCCCATTGCTTGCTGTGTCTGCTGTCTCTGGTTTGTGGTGGCAAACTGAAAAAAGCTCACATTGAAAGGCGCTAACACCAGAAGAGTGAGCAGTCGCTTACTTGGCTGTTCCATGGGGATATCCGTGCTGGTCCACATCCCAGTAGGGCATTATGAATGTAAAAATCATAGTGTATTTTATTTTATAAATACTGACACAGGCTGTAGATACTTTTTATTTCTTTTTTATTATTATTTTATTATAAATGTATGATGCGGTTCCATAGTTCCTGGAATTTCCCTTCTCTGCTCCTCAATTGCCTCCACCCTCACTGGGTTCCCCTATATTATTGTTACTATAGTATAGTTATTCATACACAGTCATATGTCCATCATTGCAACCATGGACAATAGCAGAGTGTCAGTGTCCTATTGTCAAGATACACTAAACAGTTCCATTGGGAGTCCATCTTTGTCTGGAAGTAGAAATGCATAGCGTGTAGTATCCTCACATCTGGACATAACAGTCTCCATTACACAGATACTATACATCCCCTTAAATGAAAATTCACAATACAAACAACAGGAAGAAAAAGAGACATTTACAATGCTATGAAGTTAAATAACATGCTACTGAAGGACTAATGTGTCGCTAAGGAAATGAACAAGAAAATCAAGAATCCTCTTGAAGAAAATGATGCTACTGTATGATCTGAGTCATTGAATAATCAGCAGAAACTGTTTTGAAGAGATGAAACTAACAAAAGCAAAAGCATCAAAATCCATGAGATATAATTTCCAGTGATTTTTGTTGGTGAAATGTGTCTCCTCTAGACAGCAAATAGATGGGTTTTGTTTTTTAATCCATTCCTTTATATGTCAATCTATGACGTTTGATTGAACTTAATTCACATTCAGAGCTAATATGTATGGGTGGTAATTTGGTCCTGTCATTTTAGCAATTGGTTGTTCATTGATTTAGTGTTCTGCTGTTATTGTACTGGGATGTGCTTCACATTTACCTTTGGCTTTGGTGGGTACTATTCTTTTTGTCTGCCAATAGAGCATCTTGAAGTATCCTTTGTAGGGCAGGTGTGGAAGAGGCAAATTCTTTTGAATTTTCTTTACTGTGGAAGAGTTTTGTTTCAAAGACAAAGGAAAGCTTTGCTGGGAACCTTATCCTGGACTGACAATTTTTTTGCTTTTAGAATCTGGACTATGTCACTCCATTCTCTTCTAGCTAGTAAGGTTTCCTGTGAGAGGTCTCCTGTGAGTTTAATTGGCATTCCTTTATATGTCAATTGATTCTTTTCCACATGCACATTTAAGGATCTTTTCCTTATGTTCAATTGAAGAGAGCTTGATTATCATGTGTTGGGTGAAGATCACAGCTGGTCAAGTCTGCTGGGAGTTCTGTGCCCCTCCTGGACATTGTTTCCCAATTCTTTCACCAAACTAGGGAAATTTTCTCTTATTGTTTCATTGAATACACCTCTAATCCCAGTCTCTCTTTCTGCACCTTCTGGGACTCCATAACTCTTATATTTGACCTTTTAATGGTTTCTTTCAGTTCTTGAATACTTCTTTTAGCTTGACCCAGCTTTTCTTTCTGCTTCCAGCTTTTTGTTTGTTTCCCTCTGGTGATAGGAAATATCTCCTATTTTGAGATTCTTCATTCTGCCTCCTTCATTCTATTTTGGAGACTCTCCACTGTACTTTTCAGTTTGCTCCTCTGTATTCGTCATTTCTGAAATGTCAACTTTCATTTAGTACATTTCTAGTGTGACATGTTCCTTCAATTCCTTGAATGCCTGCTTTACATGCTTCTCGTTATTGATAAGAAGCTTTGTATCAAGTGTTTTAAATTCTATATCCCCCATTTTCTTGATGTCTTCCTCCGTGAACTCTGAAGTCGGCAAGGGCTTTTGCTCTATTGCAGGGGAGTCCTGAGTAATATTCATTGTGCCTTTGTCTCTTCTTTTGCTCTTGGTCACTGTACTTCTGGTTAGCAGATTTTTCTGCTTGGGGCAGGTTTCTAAGCTCTGTCACCCCAGTTCTACAGTTCAATTTTACTCATTGCAGTTGGTACACATTTCTTTGTAGTCACTGTGCCACTAACTCCATCAAGTACCAGGTCTGGGTTCTTATGTTAGACTTCCACCATGGTCTCCATGTCTTCAGCTCCTGGCTCACCAGTCTCCACCTTCTGTGATAGCATGCTGAGGCTGCCCTATTGTCTGCACAACCTTTCTCCCACTTCTGGTTGGAGAAGGTCCAAGGATAATAGGGACACCAGGTGTCCTACATAGCTAGCTTGTTGGTGGTGCTGATCTTGCCGGACTTTGTTGGCCGTTAGGTCTAAGGGCCACACGGACCTGTTTTGACCTGTACAGTGCCATAGTTGGTGTTATTTTCCTGTAGGACCAGTACAATGCACTGAGCTGAATTGCTCCCAACTTAGAGCATGTGCAGCTCACTGTTTTCCGTGCAGTCTCAAAGCCTTTGCCACACTGTACAAAATTGCACCTGAAATGTCACTACTAGAGTTCTGCTGGCCATCAGGTCTGAGGGCCACATAGTTGCAGTTCACTGAGCCCAAAATGAGTTCACTCCCAACTCAGTGCTTGTGCAATCCTGTCCCATAGCCTTTGCCTCTTTACACAACATGGTGCCACCCTATTTCTATACTGACTATCTTTCTATACAAAGATCTACCCTATTTCTATACTGACTGTCTTGGAGCTGCCACTCTCTCTGCTCCTGGTCAAATCAAACAGGCCAGCAGGATGGGCAGTTCTTTTTTTGGGTTCTTCTCCTGAGCTCCTGGTGAATGTCCCTTCCCACCTTGTTGCTGGTGGAGTTCCCACTGCCACTGCAATTCAGATCACCACTCACTGAATGCTGCTGGACTATTGGTCACTGCAGCGCCACACCATGGTACCTGCTGCTTTCCTGTGTCTGTCCATCTCCAGATATCCCTCTGTTGCTGCTGTTCTGTCTTCTCCTATTTCCTAGAATGTGCCCTCTCTGCTTCACACTGGTTAATGTTTCTCCATCCATTTAAACATGTTCTTAGCCTCTTCTGCCATGTTGATTCTCCCTGTAGATACTTTTTAATATGTCTTTGAGTTATTTTCTAGTTGGAAATGTTTTTGACACTTTGAACCATCTGCTGCATTTGTATTTCTAAAGAAAATATCTTTTGCAACCAACTTAACTGAATAAATAAGTACATGTTATTCCCAGAAATGAAAGTTTAACAGTAATTTTAAGATATGTTTAAATTCTGATAAACTGTAAGTAGTTCCAAAAGTTATTATGTTTTAACTTACCAATGGGAAGAACAGATCTTATAAATTTAATATGATTCCCAAGAATAAAATTTCCTCCTTCTCTCCTTCATTTTCTTTTTTTGATATTTTAATACTTTCAAGTTATTATCACACGCTCAATGTGTGTATAAATAAAGAACTCTAAGAGTAAAAAGTGGATAGCCCTCTACCAAATAATCCTTAAAACGTAGGCCTGGTTTGTGTCATTTTGAACCCCTGGCATCAGCTTAATCCCTTTCTTCTATTTGCTTGGGGCAGTGAACTAATAAGATGGTTAATGATCATTGAACCCATCAACCAAAAGCTACCTAACTATTTAAAGAGGGACAAGTAACAGATAAAGTATGGACTTGTTGCAGCAGCTGGAGGAGTCTAAGTCCAGGTAGGAACCTTTAGAACTTTTGAAATTCTCTGTTGAGCATTTCTTCTCTGGACGAAATCTGTACAAATTAAAAAAAGTTTCGTTGAGCTGGCCATAAAGTCCATTTTTCTTTGTGTTTTCCAAACCTGTGTCCTAGCCTCCAACTTCTGATGAACATTCATTTGGTAAATAGATTATCCTCAGGTTTGTATGCTTTTTGAGATATATTTTAGGAACTCATAGCTTTTTTAAAAATTTATTTTTCATGATGCAGCTCATTAGGCTTAGGGATTTCCCATTCTATGCTTTCCAATCCCCTCTCCATCCCAACTGTTTTTGCCTATATTGTTCTAATAGTTTAGTCCATCATTCAGCCATTTAAGTGTATCCTGACATTGTAGGTATAGAGGGGAAACCCATAGCTCTTAAAAACAAAATCTGAATTTCTTTCCCTCTCATATTCTATACAAATGAATCTTTGAGTCTAAAGAAAATGGATCCTGATTAGATGCTTATTACCAAATTGTACTTGCTCTCTGAAACATGTCAATATCACAAACATTTATTACCGTCGGACTTCAAAGGACATTTTCAGAAATATGATGTCAGTTTTAATTAAACAGATTCTTTTTAACATAGCCACATAACATGAGCATTGTTTTATACTTTTTTGTCTGGTTGAATGTACTTAATTTTCTATTAATGAGGACCTCCTTAGTTTTCTATAATTACAGAGTCCCCCACTGTCTTTAATGTATGTATCCCATATTGGTAACAACTTAAATTGTATTTAATGATGCTATGTGTAGAACAATGGTTAGTGGGCCATTTATTTATATGTGATCATGTATTAGCAAGTAGAACTTTTACAGTGTATAAACAGTGAGAGAAATTATAACTCAGACAGTCATTAAGTCCCTAGTCGATAGATTAATGTCAAATTTTTCCCTTGTTCACTTTTTACGGCAAAATCTTCACTGACTTTTAGAAAGTGTATTATTTTTACCTCTATTTGATGTATTTTTTAAAATATATATATATTTATTTGAAAGAGTGAGAGCCAAGGAGAAAAGAGATCTTGCAGCCTTTGGGTCACTCCCCAAATCCCTGCCACAGCACTGACTTCTTTCCAGGTGCCCAGTATGGGTGGCAGGAACCCAAGGACATCACATGACACTACCCAGAAAGCTGTATCAAAAGCCAGAGAAACATCCCTACACCAAACAGCTGCTTATCTCTTTTCTGTTTTTACAGTTCTGCTTTGCTGGATATTTTATACCAATGGAATCATCTATTATTGGTCTTTTGTAACTCGCTTATTTTTGCTTAGCACAATATTTTTTCAATGTCCATTCATGTTACAGCATTTATCAGGGAGAGAGGAGCGAGCGAGGAAAAGAAGTCAGGGAGGTACATTACAGACGAAGAATTGTTATCAAAACACTACATTGAATCTGTCCTGTCTGTATGAATATCACTGGAATATGAGTATTGATAAGGACTTTGTTGTAGTAATTGTCATGCATTGTAAGCGACACTGACATTCTACTGTAAAGCACATGAGATTCATACTCAACCTGGTTTTGGAGCCTTACTCCACAGCACTCTGCATGCAACCGCACCGGTCCATTCTAGTTACCACTTAGCACGTTGTTTTTCTAATTACTTCAAGTATGCTCCTTTTTTGGGGGTATATTGCAAAAAGTATAACAATAAATTAAATACGTACATACTTCTGTAAATATCTTCTAGACATGTGAAAAGTATACAAATCTTAATTTCTATAATGAAAACGGCTTATTCATATGATCTAGACCTGGGTCCTAAGAGAGGATGTCAAAAAAATAGAATAATGGGAAATATAAATGAAAGGAACTGTAGTTTTGGAGCCCAAAACTTGAAAGCCTATGCCTCATTTTCTGTTTACTATGAGTTTTCCGTGAACATTTGTAAGAGCCCTTTTGCAGAGTCTCTTACTTGCTTGACTCTGATTTCCCCACAGACATTCCTCTCCCTGAGGCTGGGAGGCGTGTGTGTTTCTCTCCTCCCGTTCTGTTCAGCCTTCCCCTTGACCCGGTGGACCCTGAATGCATGTTCCTGGTTGGTGGATGATGACCTGGTAGCGTTTCTCATCTCCAAAGTGTGTGCGAGGAACATGAACTAAATGATCCTTTTCCTCCCTGCACAGGTGATCCCGTCTAATCAAACCTCAACAACAACTGGAAACATTGCCGTCATTTCCATATTTCCATCATGGACCAAAATCAACCCACTACCGCAACAGAGGCAAAACCTTCAAAGAAACAGAGAGGAAGATTCTGTGATGCATTCAAGGTAGAATAAGTTTCATGATCCAAATTAAAACAAATGAATGCAGAAGTTTTCACAGATATGAAGTCAGCCAATGTTAGAAAGCATGCATGCTGTATTGGAATCGTCAGTCAAGGCAGACATTAAAATGAACAAAAATGATTTACTTGGTTTTAAATTAGCCTTTAAATGTGATCATTGTGTTTCTGCAGTAATATTTATGATATTTTAATAGTTTCTTAATTCCAAAGTCTAGAAATATCCTGACATCTTTGGGTATTGATGGCTTAGAAGTATTTTTAAATGTGATTAAAATGAATATTAGGTGAAAAATCTTTTAGAATTAATCTCGAATGCTTGAAGATCAATGTCTGGTAAAAATAAGCAAATGAAACCTTTTTAACCCTGAGCTATTTACATATTCTTCCTTAGAGAAAAAAATTTTTTAAAAAAAATTCATACCTAATTAATAAGAGCTGAGGTGTAAGCGGTCTGGAATGATGAAAAAACACAGGTCTACACACTTAGTTGATGACTTAGAGAAGCCATGTAACCTTTCTATCTCTAAATCATTAAATATAATTCTAGCTTTTGCTTTTATCACAAAACTAGGTGTGCATTTTGGAATTGTAAAAAAGGATTTATGTATTTGATGAAGTTACACTAACCCAGAGGAGTGGAGAGGAAGAGCAAAAGGAGAGAAAGTCTTTGATCCACTGGTTCATTCCCCAACATGACTGCAGTGTTTGAGGGTGAGCAGGGTCTTAGCTGGTGCCAGGAGCTTCTTCTGAGTTTCCCACACAAATGCAGTGGCTCACGACTTTGGCCATCTTCCTTTTCTTTCCCAAGCATGTTGGCAGAGAGACAGATCAGAAGTAGATCTTACATGAGGTGCTGATGTCATAGGTATTGGCTTAACCTGACAGTGCCAGAAGTCCTCTGATAACTTCAAAAAAGCTTAAGGTGATAGAACAAGACCAGTGATATTACCAAGTCCTGTGCCTTGTAAATCCAAATCCCTTGAACCCACTGAAAGCAGTTAAACCTTGCCATGGAGAAGCCTTGAAGGAATCATGAAGTCAGTCATACTCACCTTTTTTTTCTTAAACAATGTTTTAGTTTGTTTTGTTTTAGTTAGTTAACAGTTGTAGTCAGCCTTATTTAACTCAATAGACACATGGAATTCTAACTCAATTCCAGTAATGTTGTATAAATGTGCCTCTAAAAACAAACATGAAGTTTGTTTTTAGAGATTACTGGTCAAGTCTTCTCTGATGAAATGTTTGAATAATATTTAAGCAGAATGTCAGTTACAGGGAAAAAGTTATTGATTAATATAGTTGAATTAGATATTGGTTTTAGGGGGTAACGGTGAGTGTCACAGAGATTTCACTTGCATGCTCATGCAGAAGGACAGACTGGCTGAAGAAAGGCAGGCTTTCCGAGTGGTCCTTGTTAACGTGTGGAAGAGAGGATAGGAGTTAGGAAATGGGCAGTGTGCATAAAGCATGCTCCATGCAGCCCGATAATGACCAAAGAAACAAAAGAAGGCTAGTGTCTTCCAGGTGAGCAGGTCAGCAGGAATTCAGAGTGTTAAAGAGAGTGTTAACACTCTCCCTTATTCCATACGTCTAAAACTCCACCTTGACATCACACCCTTCGGGATCAGGCAAGTGTGCACACATGTTGACTGACTTGCACATGCAGACACAGCAGGCAGGAATGTGTCAGAGTGCTCACAAGGAATACATAGGAAAGGCATAGTAGAAGATGGTTATTTTGCACTGCCTTTTCCTCAACTTTTGTTCTCAGCCAATCAGGTTTCATGGAATTGGTCTGTATGTGTGTCTTCCAAATTTATAATCAGCCCTCAAACCAGTGTTCTGTGTCCCTGGAGGAGGGACCTGGGAGAGCTGCCTGCCCCTTCCCTTCCCCTGTGGATATTGCAATAAATAAGCAAATTGTTGCCCTGATGACATTATATTCTAGTAAAGAAAATACAGTGAACCCACTGAAAACTGTAATATGAACAGAGACTGCTGCAATTATAGAGTGATTAAAGTCACCGAATTACAGTGACAGAACCTCAAGGTGAAGGCATCGTCAATGATAGAAATGTAGCAGTAGGGAATCTGTGGCAGTGTAATATGCTGATGGGATATGCAAGATTTTGCAGGAAGGAGACTGTGCCAGGAAATGAATTAGCATAACAAGTTGGCGCAAATCAAAGTAGAAAGGTTACAGAGAATATGGTAGGAAAGTATTACAGCGAGGACAAAGGACTTTGGATCTTAGGAATCTTTCAGAAGATAGGATATTACCAAACTTGAAGCGAGACATTACTAGGAGTACAACAAGATGTACAGAGTAAAGATTTATTTACTCGGCTTGTTGAGAAGAGACAGTAGGAGTGGAGAAGCAAAAGCAAAGTGTACAAGGGGTTGTTCAAACAGTTGAGGCCTGATGTGATGATGGAGGCCCCTGTTAATATGGGAAGTTTTCTGATCTGTGGTTTTTAAAACAAAACTCTTGACGTTGGATAATGTGTAAAGAAAAGGGGATTATTTGACTTGTGCTTTGCGCAATCAGAAGAGTGTGCAAACAGCACTGTGCCTAGAATTGCTGAGGGCACCCTTGAGTGTGTCATCACATAGTAAAGTAGCAGAATGGGAAATGGGGTCAGGCGGGAAGGTCCCTAAGATGAGAGAAGAGAGAGGGCCAGGCCAACTATTGTGTAAAAATTAGTCTCATGGGAATTAATTCACTTCCTCAAGAACTGACTGTTCTCTTTGTGTGTGTCTGTGTTCTTTTTTTAATTGTATAAATTATGTTTTTAATTTTTACGTATTTGATTTGGGTGTGAAGGGCCAAGGGCTAGAGAAAAGCAGATGAGACCATTGCTTTCACATTCTCTTTTTTCCTTTCTTTATGGGTGATGGGAAAGGAAGAGATAAAGGGAGGAGCCACACCCAGCCTCCCAACCATCCCCTGATCCCCGATGTAGAGCATGCTCCAAGGATCCTGCTCAAGTGATTTTAATAGTTGAACAGTTCTGTATTGCTGCTGACCTTGCCATTACAATCATCATAAAATTTCTCCAGACTCCACTGATTGACCTAGTCCATTTTAGAGCCTCTGTTTGCCCAGGTATTCACTGCCAACTCTTTGCTGGGGTAGTTCATCGATTTATTCCATCCTCTTTGTTTTGGTACCAGGTGTCCTCTGCAGGCTCCAGCATAACGCCATATTCTGCATGTGAATGTGGCTATGCTGTCCACTGCTCCATCTAAGCCACTGAGAAAGCCCAGCTCTGACACATGCATTCCACGGTCAGACCATGGGATCTGCAATCTCCTCCATAGATGGAGTTCTGAGTGCAGCAATTCAGTTGGCATTCCCAAAGAAACTCAATCGAGGTGATCCCAGACCTGATGCTTGTGTGTACATGCCAATACAGGATCCAGTACAATCTGTCGCCCAAATCAGCCTGTATGTGCGCACTGCTAGTTGCAGTTGTTGGGTCAGTTGTCTCCAGCCCTGACTTCTGCAAAGACTAATGGGAGTTGCAATCCAGTCTGACCATGCCCAGCACATACTTGGCCCCCACACAAACCCAGTCAAAGTGGGCTAAAACCCAGTCAAAGTGACCCACAAAAACTGCCACCAGACCCGACTCCTGCCCTGGTTCCCATGCTTGCCAGTATGTACAGCAGACTAATCTGTTCTGTACCATATCTGATTCACGTCAATGGGCATAGGAGCCTAGTTCAACCCAGTCAGGCCACTGTCTAGCCAACAATGTGCCATGTCCTGGTTCTCATACTCACCAGTGGAAGTACCAACCCAACATGGAGGTGCCCACTGTTTCCCTACTAGGCCTACTACCAGATCTTGCATTCTCCAGGTGCTCAAGGGCTACAGGAAAGTGGATAATACGTTTCCACATTAATATCATCATTTTCCTCCCTGTATCTGCGGTCAGGAGAGAAACAAAGGGAGATCTGCCATCTTGCCACAGCAGCACCAAGCTGCTACAACACAAGCAGTTGGTGGACAAATGATATGTAAACCGTAAGTGGTGGCACAGGGACCGAGTCAGTGTCAGACAGTTCAGACTGAGGGAGAAGCACAGCCCAGGCACCAGCAGAAGGTTAATTCTCAGGTGGTGGAGGTTGGAACATTGAGATCAGAATGTCAGAATGAGTGAGTGCTGCTACATGCCCTCCTCTTGGTTTGTAGGTGAATGGTCGTGTCTTAATAGGGCATCAGTCCCATTACTAGGGTTGCAGCCTCATGATCTCCTTACCTCCCAAAGGATAACCTCCAAATACCTTCACATTTGGGAAATGGATTTGACGTGAGCATGTGGGGGATTCAAGGGTGTGCAGTCCTATGCATGGCCACATTTGAATAATGCAGTCAGCTGGTATCTGATGGTGGGTGGGAGCTGAGCTTTAAGAGAAAAAGATGAGTCAGTAAGCTTCACTGAAAGGAAATTAAGACACCTCTAGTCACTCTATCTTAGGTTGAATATTACTCAGTGTTTTGGTGGTTGTATTTCTCTCAGTCTGCTGATATTTCCATGTCTCTCCTGCCTGTCTGCCTGGACATGCTGTCTCTCATAATGTTCTCCACCCTCAGCTAACCTGTGAAAAACACTTAGAAATAAAGATCAGCTTACAACCTAAGGTCTTCTGAGAACATTGCCTAGCTTCCTATGAACAGTCAATGGCCTTAATCAGAAATACTATTCAAAGGTATTACCCTACAAAGCTTCTGTTGGTTAGAAAATAATGCTTTGTCCTGTAGTGATGATAATGTTAAAAGGACTAGGAAGTGCCAGTTGATGTAAGGGAAAGCTGGGTATACTTTTTTGTGGTAAAAATAAAGTTTTGAAGTAAAGAAGTAAAGCAATTCTAATTCCAAGCACACCTGAGCATGATCTTCATTAACCATTTTTCCTCTTTCCTTCTGCTCTGCCGTAGATGTTCCTGGCAGCTCTGTCTCTGAGCTACATCTGTAAGGCTCTAAGTGGAACCATAATGAAAAGTTCCATCACTCAGATAGAACGGAGATTTGACATATCCTCTTCCGTTGCTGGTGTAATTGATGGAGGCTTTGAAATCGGTAAGGTTTCCATTTTAAAAATCAGACTTGGCAACCCACACACAGCCAATTCTCACCTTCTCCATTAAATTTCATGTTCTTGGAGAAGTTGTATCAGGTCCTAGGTTTTATTTACATCTGTCTTGTGGCCTTGAATTCCACTGGACCCAAAATTTGTACTCAATCAGTGTTTGCCTTATGGAGTGATGTAAGTATAATTGTGTTTTCTTTCTAGGAAGTTTGTTTGTGATTCTATTTGTAAGTTATTTTGGATCTAAACTACACAGACCGAAGATCATTGGCATTGGATCTCTTATAATGGGAGCCGGAAGTATTTTAACAGCTTTACCACATTTCTTCATGGGCTAGTAAGTGTTAACTACCTCCATGAATTCAATGAGTATTAACTTGAAAGTAAGTTCTAGATTTTAATTTTTCCTTTAGATTGTGTCATACTACCTTTTTAGGAAAATACTCTTCAAGTAACTCTAGAAATGGAATGTCTCTTAATGCTAAAATAAACCTATCATAATAATCATATAACGATTCTATAATAATCCTATCATCGGAAACCTCCTCTGTCAACGCTCACCATCCCCCACCATCCCACTTTTTTGGAACTGAAAAAGATACCTGGCTTATTATGCTAGGATTCCTTTGGAGCTACAGAGTAGCTCAGTGTTTTTGGATGTCAACATTTGCACCCATTGTAGTTTCATCTCTCTTGTTTTGATCAAGTTCTCCCTTATCCATGAAATGAACTAGAGTTTCTTTCATTGTTACAGAATGAGTGTGTATTTGTGTGTCCACGGATATATATCATACAGAGAGTAGCTATAACATGTAGATCTCCTTGCATATATTGTAGATCGATTTGGAAAATACTGTCCTGAATTTGTTAAATGTCAGCACAAATAAAGTTCAGAGTGTGATTATTTTTGAAGATAATTGAAAGGCATGAATTGAACAAGTGTAAGCAGGAGTTTCAGTTATTCAAAGCTTGAGCAGAATGTCAGCACTCCTGGGGATACAGCAAGCACAGGCCCACACTGGATGGGAGGAGTCAGCCACCTCCTTGAGAGAACAACCACTTTCACTTTCCCATCTCTCTCCCAAATAAGCCGGAAAATTGACCAAGAAACTTTGGGTGTTTGTAGAAAACAGTGGTGCAAAGGAAGGTGAAATTTCCTCTCTATTTGGGGGGAAAGTAAAATTGAAGCAAAATTCTAAGTACAGTCATGTTCTTGCAGTTACAGATATTCTATGGAAGAATATAGCAATTCATCAGAGAGTTCAACTTCGAACTTCACAACCTGTTCAGCCTATGAGAGTCCATCCTTCAATGGAACAGCACCTGAAATAACGGGAAAAGGTAAGGCTTAAAAGTGACAAGAATTCACACATTTCCAGATTTAATGACATATCAAAACTGATGGTGCTGTTAAAAGTGAGTGAATTTTGATATGTTTTAAAATGTTTCATTTGAGGGGCTGCCACCATGTCCCAACAGGCTAATATTCCATCTTCAAATGGCAGGATACATATATGTGCTGGATTCACTTCCCATGCAGCTCCCTGCTTGTAGCCTGGGACAGCAGTGGACAATGTCCCAAAGCCTTGAGACCCTGCACCCACATGGGAGACCCAGAAGAAGCCCCTGGCTCCTGGCTTCAGATCAGTTCAGCTCTGGCATTTTGTGGCCTTTAGGGAGTGAACCAATGGGTGGAAGATCTTTCCCCCATTGTATCGTTCCTTCTCTCTGTAATTCTGCCTTTGTAATAAAAATAAATCTTTTTAAAAGATGAAGTCTTTCGTTTTTGAAATTCATTTTATTTTCATTGCAAAGTCAGAAATGCAAAGAGGATGAGAGACTGAGAGGAAGATCTTCCATTTGATGGTTCACTCCCAAAGTGACCACAATGGCTGGTGCTGCACCAATCCAAAGCCAGGAGCCAAGAACCTCCTGGGGTCTCCCACGCAGGTGCAGGGTCCCAAGGTTTTGGGCCTTTCTCAACTGCTTTCCCAGGCCACAAGCAGGGAGCTGGATGGGAAGTGGGGCTACCAGGATTAGAACCAGCACCCATATGGGATCCTGGTGGGTTCAAGGCAAGGACTTGAGCCACTAGGCCACTGTACCAGCTCCCAGAAAGCCTTTAGTTTCAACGTTGATTAAAAAGAAAAAATTCAACAGTGTTGGTAACTTTCCGCAGATTATTTAATATCGGGCAAAAAATACAATTGTTTCTTTGCTAAATTTGGTTCAGTAATTTAGAAAGGAAATATGAGGATAAGCTTTTCCTTAACTTTAGTTTTCCAATCTTTAGTAGAAAATTAAATTTAAATTTTCTTGATTTTTTTCTGGATCATGGTATTATTATCATTATTATTATTATTGTTATTTGAAGCTAGCATTTTGTGCTCTCAGTGATCAGTAGATCTCCATGATACAGTAACTGGAATTAATTCTGCACAGTAGTATGCCTATTATGTGATGTAGTTTCAATCAAAATTACCCTCGCATGTGAGCCATATCATTGATGACTATAGCTTCTACGAGCTTTTAGCACTAGATATGGAAAAGAAGATGATTTCAGGAGAAAATTGGGAAAACCCTACATGTTTTTGAAGAAGCAAGATGTTACATAAATAGATGAAACAAAAATTACTTCATTGAAAAAAAAGATTAACCAATCCAATTGAACTCATCACATACTTTGTCATGAGTTATAATTATAGATGTTGAAATTGTACAATTTTTCTCTATGTATTGAGATTAAAAGGAATTGAGGTAGAAGAAAGAAAACTGTTTCACACTTAAAGCGCATCCATTTATAAATCATTCTGGAGTTGAGTTAAAGAATTATGTGGGGGCCAGAGCTGGGACCCACATGCAAAGCCACTGTAGCTTGCAGTGCCACCATTCCGTAGAAGAGCACTAGTTCGAGTCCTGGTTCCTTCACTTCTGATCCAGCTTTCTGCTGATGCACCTGGGAAAACACAAATTGATCCAGGCCCTGGGGTCACTGCCACCCACCTCGTAGACCTGGAGGGTGCTCCTGTGTGCTGGCACTGGCCCAGCTCCTCTGCTGAGGCCATTTGGGGAATGAAACAGCAGGTAGAATTTTTCTCTGTTCCTGTCTCTCTCTCTCCCTCTCTCCTATGTCTCTGCCTATGAAGTAATAAAATGCATCTTTAGAAAAGAATTAAAATATGCTTATTTACTTAGCTGGCAGTTCTACTTTGTTAATCTTGAATGTATAATCAAGACTGTACACAGGAGCATTTAGTTTGTATCTTTCCAACACAAATATTTTAAAATTGAAATATTATTAGCAGATTAATTCAATAGTTTTTGACATTTTCATTCAGTACAATAACAGGCTGCCATTACTATCTGACATGAAAGAAATATTTATAATGATGTAAAATTCTCAAAAGCAGCATTAAGTGAAAAAACACACTTCTATGAATAATATATATATTTATGTGTGTATATATAAATATCTATATATATAATGTGCATAAAACACATTTTACATGTTTTTGAGAGCTGACTTGTACCAGATGTATAGCAAGTAGATCATTGCTATTTCTTTTGGCTTTTTCTGTTTTTTTTTTTCTAAACTTCAGAAATTGAGTATGAAGTACTTGGGGAAAAAAGTGAAAACTACCACATGCAATAAATCAGTGTTGCCAAGTAGATGAATGTCTGATAGGAATGCTAAAATTAATGTTGAAAATGAGATGCTCTCTGGTTACACAGGTTGTGGAAAGGAATCTGGGTCCAACATGTGGATGTACGTCCTGATGGGGAACATGCTTCGTGGAATAGGTGAAACCCCTATCGTCCCACTGGGCATCTCTTACATTGATGATTTTGCTAAAGAAGGAACTTCTTCCTTTTATTTAGGTAATGCACAAACAACCTTGAATTTTCATGATTACTTATCCTGGTTCTACTCTTGACTTTATAAAAGTGTTTCTAGAGTATTTCTTTCATGTAGAAAGATTATTGGGACAAATTTATTATACACTATTATGTTTTAAAGCAGGAATGAGAACCATGTACCTTAAATTCTGATAAATATTTTTATACCAATTTCTTTAGGTACTTTGAATGCAATAGGGATGATTGGCCCAATCATTGGCTTCGTATTGGGATCTCTGTTTGCCAAAATGTATGTGGATATTGGATTTGTGGATCTGAGTAAGTACAGTCGAACACTGGCAACGAGACAGTGTCTCCCAAGTGCAGTTTACTGTTCTTCCACATATTTGAGTTTACTCTTTCAAGCTCTTTGTTTCCTGTTTTAAGTGATGAATAGGAAGTAAATGCATGAAAATCAAAATATTACTCAGGTCCCATCTGTGCTACATATTTACAGATAAGTACAAAATGAGGAAATTTGAACAGATTTAGTGTAGATCACTTCATCCTCAGGAACCAAGTTGAACCTGTCCCTTCCCGGTAAATGCATTTTCCATTTGACCGTGAGTTGGAGTAAAGTGAGACCTTGACAGTTTGCTGTGCAAAGCCTCCTTGGGACTCCTGTGTTCAGTCACGTGAGAGTACTGCAGCAAGTCCACTGTGCATTGTGATTTTAGTCATTTTATTCTGATCTTTTTTAAATGTTGTTATTTATTTTAATTGGAAGATTGGATGTACAGAGAGGAGAGACAGAGAGGAAGAGCTTCTGCCTCCCTGTTCACTGCCCACTGTTTCCCCTGACCGTCCCATCTTTCAGAATGCTTTTTCATTGACTTGCACTTGTCTTTTACAGGCACTATCAGAATAACTCCTAAGGACGCTCGTTGGGTTGGTGCTTGGTGGCTTGGTTTCCTTGTGGCTGGAACTTTATCCATTATCTCTTCCATTCCATTCTTCTTCCTGCCCAAAAATCCCAATGAACCAGAGGAAAAAAGGAAGGCTTCAAAATCCGTGTATGTGCTCAAAACAAATGAAGACAAGAGCCAAGCTGCTAGTCTGACCGGCCATGGACAAACAGTTACTGGAACCGTGACAGGTAACTAGTTTATATTCATGATCAGCTTGATATGGTTCATCTCTATATAACCACACACAAAGCATGTGGTATTGACTTTGCTTCATGCCAAGGTCAACTGGACAGTTTTCTAAAACCTCTGTTTCTATTTGTAAATATTCCCTGAGCACGTAACACGTGAAAGAGTTTTGGTTCTATTAGCAGGATGAAATCGAAAGCTAGCAACATTGGTTCCTTATAATTCAAACACCATTTGAAAAACACAGGGTGCAACTGTAAGAGAGAAAGAGGTTATAATGTTTTATTCGTCTATTCAATTAAAGATACACAGATATACCACGTGCTGGTGTTAGATAATATTATACCTGACGGTAATAATGAAAGGTGAATAGACAAAGTGCCTTAAATCTCTGGCAATGCTAAGTTTAACTACTCTCTGTTGTAGGGATGGAAAAGGGAGCAGGAAGTTAGGAAAAGTTTCTCTCTTGACAATTCCAGTAAGAAGTTTCTGGTAATTGTTAAAAGAAATTGTGAAAGTCAGTGTAATAGTTGGAATAATTGGTGTCTAATAGGAATTAGCATCCTTCAGCAATGGTAATTCATTTCTTTCAAACATAAACCCTGGGGGTTAATGGGTAATTGCTGAGAAGTAATAATCAGAAGATGACTCAGCAGCAAACTTTGATGACTGATACAATGAGGAATTGACAATAATTTTCAGAAATAGAAATGCTGGATAATTTGAAAACCAAAATTATGCCCCACAAATTCAGGTTTAAATTAAGTTCTTCCTCCATTTAATTCTTCCACTTAGTAACCTTAACAATAAGGTTCTTTTTCTGTTCTTTAAACACTGTATGAAAGGCAGTGGTGCGCTTGAGGCAGCTTGTATTGGATTGTGAGAGCACAAGTCTGGATGGCAGAGCTGTCTAAGGCTCTGTGTTCAGGTCGCAGTCTCCACTGCAGGCATGGGTTCGAATCCCACTTCTAGCGACATTGGTAGTTTTAAATTGGCCACCATGTGAATATTCACTGTAATGTATTGTCATGAATATCTTGAAAAATTTGATATAAATGTATGCCAAAAAAAATAGCTGTTAAGCGTTTACCAGCATACTGCTTAGTTAGAATTTTGGAATAGAACATAACATGAAGATACTATAATAATTGGATATTTTTGCAATTTTAGGTTTCTTCACATCTTTGAAAAGCATAATTACCAATCCTCTATATGTTTTATTCTTGTTTGTGACATTGATTCAATTCAGCAGCTTTATTGGTTCTGTAACTTATGTCTTCAAATACGTAGAGCAGCAGTATGGTCAGTCCGCATCTCAGGCCAACTTTGTGCTTGGTAAGATACATTGTTGACTTTTTGATCTGTTGCCTTTTTATTGTAAATGCAGTTTCACATATTTTAGTAGCTATAATTTTTATGTATTTTTCCAAAATCTTCTCAAATTTGTCAGCATTGCAATATCCTCATTCCTCTGCATTCCAAGTTGTAGCTCAAGTCAGCTGAGTTCCTAAAGGAAAACTTAAGTAACAATGAAAAATGCTTGTATGATATGTGCGTATTACAGATGATCACACAAACCTGTGCAATGTCATCATTATAATTCTGTAATTCATTGATTTGTAATCAGAACTGAGCTACTTACAAATAGTTATGGCATTGATACTTACAAAAGGAGAAGGAAATAGTCAAATTAAGCATATTCTTTAAAAACCATGTCATGACAGTGTTTTTGGTTACAGTATCTTTTCTATAGCATGTTGAGATGTACTTATTACGGGAAAATTTTCTCCTATAATCTTTTCACAGCTCCAATGTGTTGGAAATATTGTTGTAAAATGATTTTAGTTTCAAGCATTCACTCAGAAATCTGTACCAGGGCAACAGCAATTCTTTACCAAAAGATTATGTTCTTGTTTATTTTGAGATATCTACGTCACTTTGTGAAATCTTTAACTGAAAACATTTTAAAACCAAAAAACAGTCCTATTTCTTTTAAAGATTTCTTTATTTATTTTGTTGGAAAACTGGATATACAGAGAGGAGGAGAGACAGAGAGGAAGATCTTCCATCTGACAGTTCATTCCCCAAGTGACCGCAATGGCCAGTGTTGTGACTATCTGAAGCCAGGAGCTCTTTCGAGTCTCCCATGAAGGTGCAGAGTCTCTAGGCTTTGGGCCGTCTTTACTGCTTTCCCAGGCCATAGGCAGGGAGCTGAATGGGGGCAGGGCCACTGGAGTTAGAAACAGTGAGCATATGAGATTCCAGCGCAAGCAAGGCGAGGACTTAAACCACTATGCTATCATGCCTGGCGCGAAAAATCCTATTTTTTTAAATGAACTTTTGGAAGTAATCTTTTATGTATGTTTTGGTAAAAAAGGAAGAGACATTGAATGTTCAAGTGTTTAACATTCTGAGCAAATTGGAGTGTTTTCTTTGTGTTTGGAGTGCCTCATTTTGGAAGAAAAAAAAAAGAAAAAAGAATTTTAAATGATGGAATGAAGTCTCAAACATAAAGATTGTGGTTTGTTATATATTTCCAGGATAAGAAGGGGGAATACCTTAGAGAAATCATCCTTTGGGAAATAAACTATTTCAGATTCAGTTTTATTGCTCTTGTTACTAAGGATTCAGGTCCTCATCATTGGGAGGGACGAATAATTTTTTCTATTCTCCCATCTATTACCCTTGTTCCTTAAACCCATCCAGGCCTATTACCCCTCTAGCTAAGTAGAACCAAAATTGGGGAAAGTTGGTTGATACATACTTTGGCTCATATGTAAAACTATGTGAAGAAAGTCATATTTATATATTTACAATGTTTTTCTCTTTACTTATTTCTAGGACTCGTAACCATACCTACTCTTGCAACTGGGATGTTTACAGGAGGATATATCATCAAAAAATTCAAGTTTACCCTGGTTGGAATTGCCAAATTTTCATTCTCTACCTCTGTATTGTCTTTCTTATTTTTTCTATCACAGTTTGCGCTAATCTGTGAGAACAAACCAGTGGCTGGCCTAACCTTGACCTATGATGGGTTTGTATTTATTGCTTTATCAATGGTCTAATATTTTATCTTAGCATTACTCCTCAAATGCATACATTAGCCAGGGCTGATTCAGACCAGACCGAAGAGACTTCTAATCTGCTGTATCTTAGGGTCCTCATTAGAAGGAAGCTACATTACAGAGTGGAACCAGAAATCAAATCCAGTCACTCCCTTATGGGCTGCAGGCATGCATTCTATGTGATATCTTAACAACTGTGCCAAATCCTAACCCACAGCAAAAGTTGTTACTAGCCACTTTATTGTCTCCTAATATACCAACTGCTTAAGATTATGAATTTTCATGTTCAAGCCACCAGCAAAGACCCTTGCATCAGCTTAGTGACCACATAAGCCCATACTGCTTATTGTTCTGAGCTTTCCAGCGCAGGATTTTGTGCAATATTGATTTCAGCTTGTCATCTGTCCATGTTTTCTTGTCTAAACATTTTCCTAGTTTTAGGAGTAGCCTAGCTAATCTTCAGTTAGTGTCCTGTGCTCCTTATCGTGTCAGTTGAGCATTTCCATTCCACCATCAATACATAAATTTCATAAATCATACAGTGCACCTGACGTGCTGAGATTCAGAGGTCTAAGAACCCTAGCGATCTGGTGCTCCAGTCTTCTCATGTTCCTTGAAATCACACAGTGACTCCAAACACTGATCCTGCTCCATGCCATTAGATCTAATAACAGGCTTTCTTTAAAATGTATGTGAAAGGCAGAATTACACAGAAGAAAAGAAGGAGAGAAGGATATAAAAATTGAGGGAGAGAGAAGAGAGAAGGAGGTCGCATGAGAAGAAAGAATAGGAGAGGCGGAGAGAAAGAGGAGGGAGGAGAGGGGAGAAAGAGAAGAGAAAGGGGATGGAAGAAAGGAGAGGAAAGAAGATGGTGAAAGAGTGAGAGGAGTGGAGGGAAGAAAGCATAGGGGAAAGGAGAGGGAGAGGAGAGAAAATGAGGAAAGGTGAGGGAGAGAAAGAAAAGAAGAGAGGAAAAGAGGAGGGGACGGGGGAAAGATTTTCCATCTGAATATTCACTACTCAAAAGGCTACAATGGCTGGGCTAAATCAGGCCAAGACTTTGGCCACCTTCATCTGCTTTCCTTGGCATATTAACAGGGAGCTGGCTGGGCACTGAGGCTATTGAACTCAAACATGCACCCACATTCTTTATTTTCTAAGCTTAATCCTTAGAAGTTCTGATTTGAGTGTATTTATTTCTTACACAGGCAAAATGTAGATTTTAAAATTCACTCCTCTCTAATAATAACACTGACAGTCACATGACTTTATAGAGTGCTGAAGGAATCTCGGTTTAATGCCATTACTTTACTGAAAACAGTTATCAAGTGTCAGAAAAATGAAGTGTTTTATCTTGTATGACATTTCTTGTTAAGATCACAAAGACATCTAAACCTTACTCTCTTTAGGAGCTTTTTTAAAGTTTTTACTTTTTCTTGGTCATAAGTCATGTCTTAGGACAGATGGAGAATTAACAAAAATATGACTGTTTCAGTATCATCACAAAAAAATTTCTTGCCTTGTTAGAACATTGGCCCTTTCTCTTCTTTCCCCTACTGTCATTTTCCTGTTCTTAACTCCCTGTCCTCTTTTTTTTTTTTTTTTTTGGATACATGTCTGTCATCTAATTCCAGAAATTATCCAGTGACATCTCATCTAGATGTGCCACTCTCCCATTGCAACTCAGATTGCAACTGTGACAAAAGTCAATGGGAACCTGTCTGTGGCAGCAATGGAGTAACATACACATCCCCCTGTCTCGCAGGCTGCAAATCCTTCAGTGGCCACACAAAGCCAACTGTGAGTATCCATCTCTGCTTTCCCCTCCACTTTAGGAAAGCCAGAGATTACAGCAATTGCTTACTGAATCTAAGATCTTCTAAGAATTTGTCATTGTGATGATTGTGATTTGTATAAGCACAATTTTACTATAAAATCATGCTTGGCACACCATTACTTTTTAACTTGAGTTTAGCATGGGATTACCCTGCTTTTATTTCCATGGGTCATCAGCCATCTCTTCTTAACGTAATGTTCTTTGTGACTAGATGTCTAGAACAGCAGTTGGGTCACCACTAAGGATTAGCATAACCCATATTCAGGGTACGTGGTCAGGCTGTGGCTTCTCTGCTTCCAATCCAGTTTCATTCTCATGTAACCCAACGAGACAGCAGGTGGTGGCACAAGTACCATCTTCCCTCCACCCACATCAGAGAATTGGATTGAGTTCTAAGCTACCGGTTTTTACCTGGCCTGATCCATTAATACCTGTTGCCAGTGTTTAGAGGAGTGAACAATTGGAAGATATCTCTTTTTCTGTTTCAAATTAAAAATTTAAATAATTTTTTTAAAATGATACTTACTTCCATGTCTTTTCTATTATAGATTGTGCTGCTGCAAATATAAGATTACAGATCCCCTTCTCAAATGCAATTTTCCTTTCTTTTATGTATATTTCTAGGACCAGGATAGTTAAGTCATATGGCAGGTTTATTTACAATTCTCTAAACACTCTCCATAATGATTTCGATAGTGGTTTTGCTAGCCTACACACCTACCAGCAGTTAAGGAGGGCACCTTTCTCCCATATCAGTGCCAGCTGGTGGTGGTAGTAGAGTTTTGAATGTAGGCCAGTTTCACTGGAGTTAGATGGTACCTCAGCATGGTTTTCATTTGTATCTCCCTGATAGCTAGGGAGCCTGAGCATCTTTTCACATGTCTGTTAGCCATTTGAATTTGATGTTTTGAAAAATATCTGTTCATTTCCTTTGCCCATTTTAACAAATTCTTGCTTGTTGGATTTTTAGTGTTTCTGGGATTCTGAAGCTCTTTGTAAATCCTGGATATTATTCCCTTATCGGTTGTATACGGTGCAAAAATTTTCTCCCATTCAGTTGGTTGCTTCTTCACTTTGTTAATTGTTTCCTTTGCTGTACAGAAGCTTTTCGCTTTGATGTAGTCCCATTTGTTTATTTGGTCTTTGCCTATGCTTTGAGTGTCTTTTTTCTGTAATTCCCCTCAGCTCCTTGAGTCGAGGTAATAGCCTGTGGGGTAGACATCGTGCAGAGTTTGAGTGTAGTTCCTTACAACTCACCCAAATGGCCTTTAGCATTCATTAATGATCTTTGCCTACTTGATTCTTCAATTATTCTTTTCATTAGGGGTTTCTAAATGATGGTTTTTCTTGTTCTCCAATTCTTTCCTCCTGTTTTAGGTGGCATGTCTCAATAAACTGGACATCTGCCTCAAAACTAGGCAACATGGTGATCCTGGAACATAGTTCCTTCTAAAAGGCACATTATTTTTTTTATTTCTTTTTACATTACCAGATTTTAGAATAAGGGTAGGAAGACACAGCTTCCCAGCAGATAATTTTATTTTACTTTCTTGCATATCACAATGGAAGTTTGGAGCTTTTCATATTCAGTTACAATGGATTAATGAATGAATGAGTAAAATATCTTTTTAAAATAATAATTCTTCTGGTATCAGTCTGTTATTGGCCTTAAGCTTGCACATAAATGATATCCTCGTAGTATTTCTATTGTAGAAATTAAAAGCTTGATAAAACAAGAAAATGCAGATTAAAATTCTTTCTCAAATTCAATTTCTCCAGCACTCTTACCGATTATCCTCGGGCTTTGTAGATCCGAGGGAATATTAGACAGCTTTATGTTAAAAGTATATACAGAAATCCTGAGATTAATTGCTTTATTTTTCTAATCTTAAAATTAAAAATAAATGAAAAGTAAAAAATAAATGACAATTTCTTATTTAGAAAGGAATCCAAATTTTTTTTTTGCTCAAGTCTTAAGCACCTGTATTTTTAGAATTTCCTTAAATGCAAACATTGTAATTTGTTCTCATGGTACCTCCTTACATATAAAGGGAAGGTATTTATCGTCCTGACATTTGAAGGAGTGTGCTCTAAAAGATTTCAAAACATTTTTCAGGTGTTTCACAACTGTACTTGTGTGGAAGAAGCTGGTCTCCAGAAGAGGAACTTCTCAGCCTCCTTGGGGGAATGCCCACGGGGCGCTGACTGCACAAGGAAGTACCACATTTACTTGGCTATGCAGGTTCTTAGTAGTTTTTGCGCGGCCTGTGCAGGCCCTGCATTTATCCTGCTGATTGTTGGGTAGGTACAACTTTTAAAGGATTTTCCCATAGATTGCACTGCAAACAGACCTTGCGGTGTTTTTCCATGACGTCTGATTATCTAGGAATGCCTTTTCTTTAGGATGGCTGTGATACTTCAGTGCCACAGTGAGCAGTAATTTTGCCTCTGACTCTCTTCATTATGAGATCTTGATAATGTACCGTGTCCTCTTATGAAGAATACTGGCACCAGAATGCTTGACAGTTTCCTCAAATGTGGTGGAATCTGTGTGATATTTAAAGAGGCCTAGATGTTGGATGGTCTTGTGTCCTAATGGGCATGTCAGCGCAAAATCTATGGATTTTCATTGAAAGAAAACACTTGGGAACCTAATGCACCTTGACACTATGTTACTGTCTATACTTTGTCTATACTTTCTCTATACCTACAATGCACTTAACAGCAGAATGTTAACCTTGTAACTGTTACTAAAGGACTATACTACTGTAACAGTATGGCTGGAAAAGGTGGGAGAAGAAATGTGGAGAAAGGAAGGGAAAGGAAAGGAGAGTATCCTTATACCTACAAAACTACATCATGTGAAACCCTAAAAAGTAAAACAAGAGCTACCATGCATGACATTGCCCAGGAGACATGTCTTAGGAAATAAAACCAATCATAATTCAAAGCAAAAAATATTTTGTATCTGTTAATTTGGTATTTTAATCTAGATAGGATTTTGAGTCTCCTTCGCTTCTGTATTCTGGCCAAGCCACTCCAGTGCTGTCAGTTTTACCTGATGTACATTGTGCTGTCACGGGAATGGTGCTGTCATCAGCTCACTTGGCACAAATAAATAAATAAATAGAAGTGCAGGACAGGTGTTTGACACTGCTGTTAACTTGCTGCCTGCACTGATTGCATCTCACATTGGAGTGACTGGGTTCCAGCACTCCCTCCACTTCCAGTTCTAGCTTCTTGCTGATGCCTAGCTGACAGTCCAAGAGGTTACAGCCCTGGTACTCACGTGAGAGCCCCTGTGTGAACTGAGGACTCGTGTGGGCATTTGGGAAGTGAGCCAGTGAACAGAAACCTCCTCTCTCTCTCGCTCACTCACTCACTCTCTTACCTTGCTTTCTCTTTCACAAGCAAGTAAAATAGATTTTAAATATGAAAAACAGAATTGTGGAAATCACTCTGCAGGAGTGAATGGGTTTCCAAGCAAAGACACTTACGTGCTCTCTAAAATCTGGAGCCTAAGTCTGACTTGTTGAAGGACTGTACTGTTGTCACAGTGTGGGGGAGGCAATGGGAGGGAGGCGAGGAAGAGTGTGGAAGGGAAATCCCTGAGTGGAAGGAACTGTGTCATGAAAAATAAGAATTTAAAGAAGAAAAGTTCTGGAATGCACACACTTCTTCTGAGCCCTTTGCATTATATCATTTTTGAAATATTTTAGTGAAGAAACTTCTGCTAACATCACTGATAGAACGTGATGGAAAAAAAGAAGCTTATAAATACTATGCACAGATAAGAGTTTCTTCTGTTTTCATATAGATTATGTTGACTACTGAGACCACACAATTTCATTGTCTTTATAGGCACATCCAAATCTATTCTAAATCCTCTCACAGAATTTTTCTCAGACTTCAAAACAATCATGTTTGTTAGACTTTGTCAAAACCACAATGCATTGAAGAATTAAGTGACTTGTAATTATCACTCAGGTGTTTGCTTTTTGAAATTAATTAAATGTAACTTTATATAACTGAACTTCAAAGAACTCACACAGGAGCTTGCACTATTGGCTAAGCTGCCCCTGGCATGCCATCATCCCAAAGGATCCGTGGTTTGAGTCCTGGATCCTCCACTTCTGAACGAGTTCCCTACTAAAAGCCTGGGAAAACATAGGAAGACTGTGCAAGAGCTTGGGTCCAAAACCCTGCAAAGAATGCGTGTCTGCACTTGAGGCTCAAGGCTTCCCCTAGTCCGGCCCATGTCGTTGTGATCATTTGGGGAGAAAAGCAGCAGATGGAAGATTCGATCATTTTCTTGGTATATCTGTCTCCCACTCCTTCCCTCCCTCATCACCCTCTCTGCAACCCTGCTTTCAAATAAATAAGTCAATTTTTAACGTAGAAAATGTGTTTTAAAGTAAAGCTTATTTTAGTATAAAATATTTGAAATTGATTTATATTGGCAATACTTCAAAACTTCATAAAAACAAAATGTTACAGAAAGCAATACATGAATTAAAAATCTTTTTTCTTAAAAATTACTTTCTAATTGCATTTTTCCACAAACTTTCTGAACCCAACTTGTAAAAATCTGGGCCCATCACTTCAGGGATTTCATTCAGTCTTCAGGAAGAGAACACTGAGAAATATTTTAACTTGAGCTCAGTTTGTTGTTTTAAAAGTGCTGATGTGTCTTTTTGCTTTTGTTTGATTGCAGAGTTGTTCAGCCTGAATTGAAGTCACTTGCAATGGGTTTCCACTCACTGATGATTCGGACACTAGGTACGACAAATGTGGAAATTGTGGACTTGGGAAATAGTTATCAATACTGACTGACTAATGTGTGCAATTAATTTCAAATTACGAAGAGAATAAGTAGACATCATTTCCATTTTTATGGCCAGTGACAGTAAAAGGAGACAGAACGTAAAAATTACTCTGTTGATTCTAGTAGTTAACGACAATCTGTCACAGTCCAGAGTCATATCTGTGTTATCATCCATTTATAAGGATGGCAGGTGGTTCGCAAGCTTATTCCTATCAGGTTTGAGACTTTGAGATTCTTGGTTACATGTGCTAATCAGTGATGCAAATGTCTCCCAATATTTTCAACTTTTACTGAATGCAAAATTTATCAATGTGAAATATCACCCAATTATAGTTGAGACGTGTTCCTTGGATTGATATCCTGTCACCTCACATTTCAGGAGGGATTCCAGCTCCAGTATACTTTGGGGCTCTGATTGATAGAACTTGCTTAAAGTGGTCCGTCACCAGCTGTGGTGCCAGAGGAACTTGTCGGTTATATAACTCTGTGTTATTTGGGTAAGTTGCCATCAGCATCTCATTCATTGATTCTTCTCCTAGCTGTATTAATTCCTAAAGAGTATCATTTTCAATCTGATAATAGTTACAGCCATGATTTAAAGGACACTATATTCAAACTTATGTTAGACCATCTGATAACTCATTTTGACTATCGTCAATGATAGAACACATACGTTTTCCTTTTTACTAGAATGTGAGGGAACCATTTTCAAAGATAGTGACAATCAAAATAACACAACTAATAAATCTGAAGTCCTGGATTTGCATTCAAATCTTTTTGTTTCCAAAACCCTACTCATACGGTCATGTCATGCTAATCCCAGTTAAGGCTGAGAATGCATTTAATGCATGGAACTCATTGAACTTTAAGGCATAGCCTCACCTGCTTTAGCTAATCTAGAATACTTCATGTGAGTCTGTGATGGGACAAAAGCATCTAACAGCTGCTTTTAGAACAAAGTGTTGAACACACAGTTTTACTAGACATGAAAGGACATGAAAATGTAAAACATAGTATTCTAAAAATTATGGCAGCTCAGTTCACTGCTCAGAGTCCACTTTTTATCCCCAAGAGTACGTAAATGCCACCCCCTGCAGCTCTGTCCTGTTATCTAGTATCACAATAGAGCAGCACACTCCACCTTGGGAGCCTAGGAGATCAAAATGCAAAGTTTGTAATGTGGATTCCACTAACTGCCTGCTGCTTTCACACCATCATAATCCTTAAAAACTATAGTTTGAGTGATCTTTAGTTGAGTTGATCTGTAGTTTATATTTTCTTTCTGAAGAATTTCTTCCAATATTTCTTACAAGACGAGTCTCTAGACAGAATCTGACTTTGTGTTTGGAATATTCCTCATTCTACTCCACTGTTGAAGGAAAATCTCACAAGGTGCAGGATTTAGGGTTGATGGGTTTTGCTTTAAACACTTAAAATAGTTCATACCATTCTCTTCTTGATGGCAAAATTGATGAAAAGTAGCCAATGTAGTTTTTTTTTAATACTAAAATAAATTTTTCTTCCCTTCTGGCTTATTTTGGGATTACTTTTAATCTTTGAGTTTTACAATTTTGCTTATAATTGTTACAATTTTTCTGACATTTTCCTGACTTGATCTTTGAGTTTCATTCATTGGGGGTAGTTTAGTGGATGACACTGACTTATGTCTCAAAATACTCTTCTCTTTCACTTTCCTTCCTTTCCAACCACTCCAGCCCATCCTTCCTTTCCCTGCCTGTTTTGTTTACTCTCTCTCTCTCTCTCTCTCTCTCTCTCTCTCTTGCTTCTTTCCTTTTTTTCTTCATTCTGTCCTTTCCCCACTTCCCTTCCTTTTTCTTTTCTTCATCTTTCTTTCTTTCTTTTCTTCCTTCTCTGTCTCTCTCTCTACATTTCCCCTCTGTCTCAGACTTTTACACTGGTCCTGCAGTTACTGAATGTGTTGTTTGCCATTTTTTTTCTGTCTTTGCTTTACAGTTTGGGAGGTTTCATTTGTGATAACCTCAAATTAAGAGACCCTTTCTTCAGCTGTGTTCTCTGTACTAAAATCATCAAAGTATCTTTCATTTCTGTCCCAGAAGTTTTGATCCCTATGTTGCTTCATAGAATGTCTGTTTCTCTGCTTCCATCACTCACCAGGTCATCTATGCTATCTACTTGGTCCATTAACACCGTAGCATGTTAATAACAGTTAAATTTCCATTCTGATCATGTCAACTTCCATGATATGTCCTAACTCTAGTTCTTGAGGCTTGCTTATTCTCTGCAATTATGTTTTAAATTACGGTTTTTCTCCCTTCTTTTTGTATGCTTTGTAACTGTTTTTTTTTTTTTGAGAGCCAGAAATAATGTATTAGGTAAATTACCCTCTGAAAGCCTTTCTAATGTGGTAGAAAGTGCAAAAGGATCAATTCTCTGTCTTTTAGATGGGGCCTCTTGGCTATGAACTTTAAGCAGATTTCTCGGTTCCCGTCCCACCCGGTGAACTGGATAGGAAGGCTTGAGGAAGTTGGAGATGAGTGTTTTTCTTCCTGTATGAGGAAGGCTGAGCCAATTGGAGTTGAGGAATTTCCAAGGTTTCATAAACATTTCAAATTAATTCAAAACTAATCTAAAAACAATGACTACCTTATTGCTTTTGATTTATACTTCTGTTTTGTTTCTCTGTTTTTACATTTGCTGCTACCAGAAAGATTGTAAATATGCAACAGAATTCAAAATGATCATCTACTTTTTTTTTTTTTTCAAAAATCTCTTCTCACAGAAACAGATTTCTGGGCTTGTCTACATTCTTAAAATCCCTAGCACTTATTTTATACGTTGTGCTCATTTCTGTCATGAAGAAAACAGTTAAAGGAAAAAGTACCAAGTCAACAGAAAATGGAAAGAAGGCTTTGGATGATGCAAACTTAGAATCCTTAAGCAGCAATGGACGTTCTGCACCTTCTGCTGGAGCAGACGGAGAGACACATATTTAAGGGATGACAAAAAGAACCCTTCTGCTGCAGTTCCACTCAACACAATGGTGACACACCAAGATGTCATTTTCAAGCAGTTCCTGGTCCTTCATGGAGAATTCTACCACTTTTACAGTTTATAGAACAATGAATCACAATTAACGAGCCCATTCATTTATAATGATCAAAGTCCAAATTGAAGATAAAAGGGGCTGGCACCGTGGTGCCGGAGGTTAAGCCACCACTGGTGACACCAGCATCCTCCTTGGGAATACTTGTTTGAATGCTGCTTTGCCTCCATTTCCGATTCTTGGAAATGCAGCTGAGAAGTCAATGGAAGACGGCCCAAGCACTTGGACCCTTCTCACTCCTGTGGGAGACCAGGTTGCTGCTGTGGAATCCAGGTTTTGCCTGGTCCATCTGTGGCTAGAGCAGCCATTTTGGAGAGTGAATCACTGGATGGAAAATTCCCTCTATCTCTTTCTCTTTGCAATCAAATAAATAAATGAGTAGCTTAAAATGGATGTATTCCTTTTGTGGGTATGACTATGATTGTAGTTAATATTTGTACACATACACATGAAAAGTGAGAACTTGATTAGTTGTGGCACAAGCAGAAGTATTGGCTCAGGGAATTGCGGTTTTTAGTGAAACTGTGAGTAGAAAATGAGTCCAAGTGAGAAAGTAGGAGAGAAATTAGCAGCCTTTGGTTTTAGCGGTTACTATTCCTTTTGTCTGCCAAGAGAGCATCTTGAAGTATCCTTTGTAGGGCAAGTGTGAAAGAGGCAAATTCTTTTGACTTTGCTTTACTGTAGAAGAGTTTTGTTTCCAAGACAAAGGAAAGCTTTGCTGGGAACCTTATCCTGGACTGACAATTTTTTTGATTTTAGAATCTGGACTATGTCACTCCATTCTCTTCTAGCTAGTAGGGTTTTTGTGAGAGGTCTCCTGTGAGTTTAATTGGCATTCCTTTATATGTCAATTGATTCTTTTCCACATGCACATTTAAGGATCTTTTCCTTATGTTCAATTGAAGAGAGCTTGATTATCATGTGTTGGGTGAAGATCACAGCTGGTCAAGTCTGCTGGGAGTTCTGTGCCCCTCCTGGACATTGTTTCCCAATTCTTTCACCAAACTAGGGAAATTTTCTCTTATTGTTTCATTGAATACACCTCTAATCCCAGTCTCTCTTTCTGCACCTTCTGGGACTCCATAACTCTTATATTTGACCTTTTAATAGTTTCTTTCAGTTCTTGAATACTTCTTTTAGCTTGACCCAGCTTTTCTTTCTGCTTCCAGCTTTTTGTTTGTTTCCCTCCGGTGATAGGAAATATCTCCTATTTTGAGATTCTTCATCCTGCCTCCTTCATTCTATTTTGGAGACTCTCCACTGTACTTTCAGTTTGCTCCTCTGTATTCATCATTTCTGAAATGTCAGCTTTCATTTAGTACATTTCCAGTGTGACATGTTCCTTCAATTCCTTGAAAGCCTGGTTTACATGCTTCTCGTTATTGATAAGAAGCTTTGTATCAAGTGTTTTAAATTCTATATCCCCCATTTTCTTGATGTCTTCCTCCGTGAACTCTGAAGTCGGCAAGGGCTTTTGCTCTATTGCAGGGGAGTCCTGAGTAATATTCATTGTGCCTTTGTCTCTTCTTTTGCTCTTGGTCACTGTACTTCTGGTTAGCAGATTTTACTCATTGGGGCAGGTTTCTAAGCTCTGTCACCCCAGTTCTACAGTTCAATTTTACTCATTGCAGTTGGTACACATTTCTTTGTTGGTAGTCACTTGTGCCACTAACTCCATCAAGTACCAGGTCTGGGTTCTTATGTTAGACTTCTACCATGGTCTCCATGTCTTCAGCTCCTGGCTCACCAGTCTCCACCTCCTGTGATAGCATACTGAGGCTGCCCCATTGTCTGCACAACCTTTCTCCCACTTCTGGTTGGAGAAGGTCCAAGGATAATAGGGACACCAGGTATCCTATATAGCTAGCTTGTTGGTGGTGCTGATCTTGCCGGACTTTTTTGGCCGTTAGGTCTAAGGGCCACACGGACCTGTTTTGACCTGTACAGTGCCATAGTTGGTGTTATTTTCCTGTAGGACCAGTACAATGCACTGAGCTGAATTGCTCCCAACTTAGAGCATGTGTCTCAAAGCCTTTGCCACATGGTACAAAATTGCATGTATTTTCTAAAGAAAATATCTTTTGCAACCAACTTAACTGAATAAATAAATACATGTTATTCCCAGAAATGAAAGTTTTTTAACAGTAATTTTAAGATATGTTTAAATTCTGATAAACTGTAAGTAGTTCCAAAAGTTATTATATTTTAACTTACCAATGGGAAGAATAGATCTTATAAATTTAATGATTCCCAAGAAAATTTTCCTCCTTCTCTCCTTCTTTTATTTTTCTTTTCTTTTTTGATATTTTAATACTTTCAAGTTATCATCACACGCTCAATGTGTGTATAAATAAAGACCTCTAAGAGTAAAAACTGGATAGCCCTCTACCAAATAATCCTTAAAACATAGGCCTGGTTTGTGTCATTTTGAACCCCTGGCATCAGGATAGTCCCTTTCTTCTATTTGCTTGGGGCAGTGAACTAATAAGATGGTTAATGATCATTGAACCCATCAACCAAAAGCCACCGAACTATTTAAAGAGGGACAAGTAACAGATAAAGTATGGACTTGTTGCAGCAGCTGGAGGAGTCTAAGTCCAGGTAGTAACCTTTAGAACTTTTGAAATTCTCTGTTGAGCATTTCTTCTCTGGATGAAATCTGCACAAATTAAAAAGATAAGTGTAGCCTGACATTGTAGGTATAGAGGGAAACCCATAGCTCTTAAAAATAAAATTTGAATTCTTTCCATCATATATTCTATACATATGAAACTTTGAGTCTAAAATATATATATATTTATTTGGAAGAGTGAGAGCCAAGGAGAAGAGAGATCTTGCAGCCGTTGGGTCACACCCCAAATCCCTGCCACAGCACTGACTTCTTTCCAGGTGCCCAGTATGGGTGGCAGGAACCCAAGGACATCACATGCTGCTACCCAGAAAGCTGTATCAAAAGCTAGAGAAACATCCCTACACCGAACAGCTGCTTATCTCTTTTCTGTATTTACAGTTCTGCTTTGCTGGATATTTTATACCAATGGAATCATCTATTACTGGTCTTTTGTATCTCGCTTATTTTTGCTTAGCACAATATTTTTTCAACGTCCATTCATGTTACAGCATTTATCAGGGAGGGAGGAGCGAGCGAGGAAAGGAAATCAGGGAGGTGCAATACAGATGAAGAATTGTTATCAAAACACTACGTTGAATCTGTCCTGTCTGTATGAATATCACTGGAATATGAGTATTGATAAGGACTTTGTTGTAGTAATTGTCATGCATTGTAAGCGACACTGACATTCTACTGTAAAGCACATGAGATTCATACTCAACCTGGTTTTGGAGCCTTACTCCACAGCTGTCCTCTGCATGCAACTGCACCGGTCCATTCTAGTTACCACTTAGCACGTTGTTTTTCTAATTACTTCAAGTATGCTCCTTTTTTGGGGGTATATTGCAAAAAGTATAACAATAAATTAAATATGTACATACTTTTGTAAATATCTTCTAGACATGTGAAAAGTATACAAATCTTAATTTCTATAATGAAAACGGCTTATTCATATGATCTAGACTTGAGTCCTAAGAGAGGATGTAAAAAAAAAATAGAATAATGGGAAATATAAATGAAAGGAACTGTGTGTTTTGGTGCCAAAACTTGAAAGCCTATGCCTCATTTTCTGTTTACTATGAGTTTTCCGTGAACATTTGTAAGAGCCCTTTTGCAGAGTCTCTTACTTGCTTGACTCTGATTTCCCCACAGACATTCCTCTCCCTGAGACTGGGAGGCATGTGTGTTTCTCTCCTCCCATTCTGTTCAGCCTTCCCCTTGCCCAGTGTCCCGGACCCGGTGGACCCTGAATGCATGTTCCTGGTTGGTGGATGATGACCTGGTAGCGTTTCTCATCTCCAAAGTGTGTGCGATGAACATGAACTAAATGATCCTTTTCCTCCCTGCACAGGTGATCCCGTCTAATCAAACCTCAACAACAACTGGAAACATTGCCGTCATTTCCATATTTCCATCATGGACCAAAATCAACCCACTACCGCAACAGAGGCAAAACCTTCAAAGAATCAGAGAGGAAGATTCTGCGATGGATTCAAGGTAAAATGAACCAATGTTAGAAAGAATGCGTGTTTTATTAGAATTGTCAGTCTAAGCAGACATTAAAATTAACAAAAATTATTCCCTTAGTTAGAAATTAGCCTTTCTTTAAATATGATTAATGTGTCTCTGTGGTCAAATTTAAAAATTCATTAATGTAAAAATCTAGAAATATTGTATATCCCTTTGTTTCTTGATGAATTAAGAGATGTTTATAAAATGTGTTTAAAACAATATCGGTGCTGAATAGTAGGTGAAAGTAATAGAATTAACCTCTAATGCTTGAAGATTAGTAGCTATGTTGTTCATAAGAAACTAACCCTGTGACCCTGATGTTTAAGCATTTTCCATTAGAGAAGGACATTTTTTTTTATTAATGTGGTAATAAAATCTGATGTATAACATGTCTGGATTAACGTTGGTCTACACACTTGTTTGATGTCTTAGGAAAGCCATGTAATTTTTCCATTTGTTAATCACTAAAAATAACAATTCTGCCTTTGCTTTCCCCCCTCCCCCGCAAAATGTACAAGCATTAAATAATACTTAGATTCCCTTTAAAAAAAAAGAAACAGGCTTATTTCTGTGGCATGCTGAGTTACATAGGGTGGCAGAGGGAGAGAGACTGGAGAGAGCTTTCATGCAGTGGTTCACTCTACCACACTGGTGACTGGGGCGAGGGCATGCTGAGCCCAGGGGACAGGAGCTGCTTCTGGATCTCCCACATGGTTTAAGGGATGAAAAGACTAGGGCTGTCTTCCACTGTTTTCCAGGATATTTGCAGATTTCAAATGGATCCCAAATGGAATGCCTGTGTCATAGGTGTTTCCTTAGCTGCTAGGCCAGAAGTTCTGGGATGGTTTCCTAAATAACAGTGTGTTGTTACCAAGACTCAGCAAAGTTCCAAAGTCTCATTCTGTGTAAGTCCAAAGCCCTTGAGCCTAG